GAGCTTGACACATCTTTCTCAACCCTCCATGATATATCATGGCCTTATTACTGACTGACCTGCGCTTTTACACAAGTTCCCCCGTGTGTGGGAAGGAAGTGCATGCTGCGGAAAGGTTAAAACTATGTAAACATGAAAAGCTTCCTACAGATTTGGTACGAGATTGTAGCTTTGTAAATTCTTGGTAAATCTGTAGTCAACCAGACTTTTCGTTTTCTTTTCCTTCTTCTTTATTTCTTCATTTGTAACTCATACTAAAACAAAATAAACTGTCATCATGGTAAAAAGTGGAGGGGAGGGGGGGCCTTAAGCCCCCACCCTGGCTCCGCCGTCCCTGGTTCAGTTCAGCACGTGCATGGCAAGCATATTGAAAGCTTTATATGAAATTAAATTTTGAGGAGTTCCGTCAACTGTTGAAGAATTCAAGCCCCTATTGAAACGGCAAAAATTGCATAATTTTTACGGGCTTAAAAGGCATTTTAGTTTGCCCAATATCAGGTCGAAATAAATACTTTGATTAACTTTTGGTCTTCTTCAATCAGTATTTGGAACAAAAAAACTGGGCAGTAAGAACGTGCACCTGCAAACACAAACGTTTTCAAGGCTAGGTGAACTTTTTGCACAACTGACGAAAACTGAAAAGTCTCTTCATGGAATAACTACTTGATATATTTCTAACAGTGTTTTTTTGTCGTTGTTGGTGTCTTCAATTACTTAGCCTTAATAGTTTCCAAATAATAAAGAAAGAGGGAAAATCGATGGTTNCTTGGTAAATCTGTAGTCAACCAGACTTTTCGTTTTCTTTTCCTTCTTCTTTATTTCTTCATTTGTAACTCATACTAAAACAAAATAAACTATCATCATGGTAAAAAGTGGAGGGGAGGGGGGCCTTAAGCCCCCACCCCGGCTCCACCATCCCTGGTTCAGTTCGGCACGTGCATGGCAAGCATATTGAAAGCTTTATATTAAATTAAATTTTGAGGAGTTCCGTCGACTGTTGAAGAATTCAAGCCCTATTGAAACCGCAAAAATCGCATAATTTTACAGGCTTAAAAGGCATTTTAGTTTGCCCAATATCGGGTCGAAATAAATACTTTGATTAACTTTTGGTCTTCTTCAATCAGTATTTGGAACAAACAAACTGGGCAGTAAGAATGCGCACCTGCAAACACAAACGTTTTTAAGGCTAGGTGAACTTTTTGCACAACTGACGAAAACTGAAAAGTCTGTTCATGGAATAACTACTTGATATATTTCTAACAGTGTTTTTTTGTCATTGTTGGTGTCTTCAATTACTTAGCCTTAATAGTTTCCAAATAATAAAGAAAGAGGGAAAATCAATGGTT